CACTGCACCTTCTCTTCCACTTCCAAGACGAGAAAACCGACAACCGTCACACCCATCATACTCTTTTTAAGGACTGTAGGAATGTGCCCACATAGTGACCATTTTATAGGTGAAAGGAAATAGTCCGAAACTTAACAATTGGTTACTCATAAACACACATGTGTAGCGTCATCAAACTGAAACAACCCCATTCATGCATGCCCCCATCATGGAACCCACTTCTACGAAAACAACATATCTAGCCAATTTATACCTATACAACCATATAATAAACTCATGCAAGTAACTACTAAAACATTTACAACACGATATAGTTTTGAACTAACCCACCATGCATACAAATATATATATATATATTCCGGTTTCTCCCCCAACATACAACAACAAAACATAAACCCATGCAAACCCCATCAAGTATCCATGCATGTTAGAGATTGAAACTAACCCCATCTCTCAAAAAACATATTTCATGGTTACTTTAAAACAGATTTATAGTAAAGATTCAATATATCTAAATATGTCAAACAAGCACATACATTTAAGCATATTCAGATTATAAGAAAGAAAGCGGAAGCAGAAAGACCAACCTCCAGCCATTATTGTATGCTTGCTTAACTTCTAGTTTCTGAACCCTTGCTCTTAAAACATGATGGTGATGTATATGAAGTAAAGAGTAGGCTCAGTGACCTGATTATAAAATTTCTGTAGAACTCCAAAAACCATCACAGAGTATTTTAACGTTAGAAGAGTTTGTTGCGGGAATCACGGCACATCCACGCACGTTTGAAAAAATGGTTTTAAAATGGACCACTATCAGGATATTAAATGAAAAGAAATAAAATAAATGGGAGAGGATATAATCTTAAAATGTAACCTCTCTTATGTATAAAGGCTAACATTCTCCCACTTGGTCCGTTTTATTCAACCATCAAACATAATAAGAGACCAAATATATGAATCATGGTGACAGTTTCTCTAATAATGATTATTATCTCCCATGTATTACAATGTATTTAGTCTCACATCACAAGCTCTTAACTCTAATGAATAAACCATATGTCTATTCTAGGTCACAATTAAATGAGTTTTCTCAAAGTAACTAATTATGTGCACAAATAATTGAGAAAACATTAAACTGAATAAAAGTTTTATCAAAATGAAAGTACTTATAATGATTGTCATATAATGGAATCAAGTCCCATTCGCGTTACATGATCCTTAAAATTCTTTGGTGGCATGCCTTTAGTTAAAGGATCAACAATCATCAACTCAGTGCTAACGTGCTCAATGACCACTTTCTTTTCTTTAACACGTTCTCTTATGGCTAGATATTTAATATCGATGTGTTTACTTTGACTTCCACTTTTATTATTCTTAGCCATAAAAACAGCAGCAGAGTTATCATAATACAACTTTAGTGGCCTAGCAATTGAGTCCACAACTCTAAGCCCAAATATAAAACTCTTCAACTATACACCATGTGAAGTAGCCTCAAAACAAGAAATGAGCTCAGCCTCTATAGTAGAACTAGCAGTCAAGGTATGGTTTTTGTTACTCCAAGATACAGCTCCACAAGTTAGCATAAAAACATAGCCAGATGTAGATTTTCTGGTATCAACACAACCAACAAAGTCTGAATCAGAGTAGCCTATCACTTCCAAATTATTAGTTCGTTTATACATGAGCATGAAATCTTTTGTTCCTTGAAGATATCTCATTACTTTCTTTGTNAACCAATCAAAAAAGTAGGCCAAACAAATATAACCAACCATCCCCTAAAATTACTAAGTTCACACCCCTGTCTACTAAAATAGAATTTGTATGCACCCCTAAAATTGCTAAGTTCACACCTTTGTCTACTAAAACGAAATTTATGACGCATCTCCTAAAATTACTAAGTTCACACCCCTGTCTACTGAAATAGAATTGTGACGCACCCCTAAAATTTCTAAATTCACGCTTTGTCTTCTAAAACAAAATTTGTGATGCACCCCTGAAATTACTAAGTTCATACGCCTCTTCATTAAAACAAAACTTAGGATGCTCCCTATAATTACTAAGTTCATAGTCTTGTCCACTAAAATAAAATGTTTGTTGTAATTACTAAATTCAGACTCCTGTCCACTAAAATAAAATTTCTGACGCACCATAAAATTCCTAAGTTCACTTCTCTTCCCACCTACTTTACAAGTGGGTCCCACAACCATTTAATTTATTTTTCTCTCTCCTTTTTGGTGGGCCCCATGTGGTCTACCCCAAAACCACTCTCCCACTCATTTTCCCTCAGGGTGTTGCTCCCTTCTCCACCACCACCCTCTTCTCCCTTCACTTCCCTACAAATATTTTAATGGCAAAATTACCCTTTACTCCCTCATTACTGCTTACTCCCAATTGCCCAAACTAGGCTTTTTCCTTGTTCCTGAATATGACTAGGTCCAACGTTTGGCCCTCGGAGGTTACTTTTGCAAGCGTTCTTGCTTCTTGTGGTGCGGCTTCTCATCTTCTTCTTTCAAGGCAGGTTCATGGGCTGGTCACAAAGTTTGGCTTTTGTGACAATGTGATTCTTGGAAGTTCACTTGTTGATGTGTATGCCAAGTGTGGGGTTATGATTGATGCTCACAAGATGTTTCATGAGATTCCGCAGCCTAATGCTGTCACTTGGAATGTGATCGTGAGGCGTTATCTTGATGTTGTTGATGCAAGGGAAGCGGTTTTCATGTTCTTACGGATGTTTTTCACTGTGGTAAATAAGTGAAAGGGTAATTTTGCCATTAAAATAATTTGTGGGGAGGTGGAGGAAAAAGGGATGGTGCTTTCTCTCAACGTAACTTAACTCTCCCTCCCTCTTTCTTTCTCCGTTTTCTGCACTTTTTTACCATAAAACTCCAAAGAACATTGTTCCTTCCTCTCCCTCTCACTCTCATGTTAACTATCCTTTTTTTCTCTCTCTCTTTCTTTTCCTTTTATTTTTCAACAAAACTTAAACCCATTCTATCCTTATCTCTCCATTCTCATTCACGTGAAAACCTGCACCCAAGCCTCCCCTTCCTCTCTTTTATTTATTTATTTTTTTCTACTTTCTAGGAGCTAATACTCTACCATTTACGTAATGCAAGTATACCCAAATCACCATCTTCACTCTTCCTCATTCATTTTTCTTTTCCCACCAACACCCATAATACCAAACTTACTCTTCTTTTCTCCCTCTCTCTATCTTTTATGTGTAACCTTGCCATGCATTCAAGCCACTACTTCTTCATGTAACTAAAGACCCATCCATCTTTTCTTTCTTCTTGTATTCATCAAATACAAGCTCCAATCTTCTTCTCCTATTATTCTTTCTTTCTACCGAAACCACAAGTGTAAACACACTCATTTTTCTTTCACAACCACTCAACCCAAGACTCCCCTAGCTTCTACCCTTTTACTTTCTTATACACACAAAACATCAACCCTTTCTTCTCTCTTCCATGTATTCATGTATCAACACACATCCATTCTTACTTTATTTCTATGCTTTTGATCTACACTCACTGCACCTTCTCTTCCACTTCCAAGACGAGAAAACCGACAACCGTCACACCCATCATACTCTTTTTAAGGACTGTAGGAATGTGCCCACATAGTGACCATTTTATAGGTGAAAGGAAATAGTCCGAAACTTAACAATTGGTTACTCATAAACACACATGTGTAGCGTCATCAAACTGAAACAACCCCATTCATGCATGCCCCCATCATGGAACCCACTTCTACGAAAACAACATATCTAGCCAATTTATACCTATACAACCATATAATAAACTCATGCAAGTAACTACTAAAACATTTACAACACGATATAGTTTTGAACTAACCCACCATGCATACAAATATATATATATATATTCCGGTTTCTCCCCCAACATACAACAACAAAACATAAACCCATGCAAACCCCATCAAGTATCCATGCATGTTAGAGATTGAAACTAACCCCATCTCTCAAAAAACATATTTCATGGTTACTTTAAAACAGATTTATAGTAAAGATTCAATATATCTAAATATGTCAAACAAGCACATACATTTAAGCATATTCAGATTATAAGAAAGAAAGCGGAAGCAGAAAGACCAACCTCCAGCCATTATTGTATGCTTGCTTAACTTCTAGTTTCTGAACCCTTGCTCTTAAAACATGATGGTGATGTATATGAAGTAAAGAGTAGGCTCAGTGACCTGATTATAAAATTTCTGTAGAACTCCAAAAACCATCACAGAGTATTTTAACGTTAGAAGAGTTTGTTGCGGGAATCACGGCACATCCACGCACGTTTGAAAAAATGGTTTTAAAATGGACCACTATCAGGATATTAAATGAAAAGAAATAAAATAAATGGGAGAGGATATAATCTTAAAATGTAACCTCTCTTATGTATAAAGGCTAACATTCTCCCACTTGGTCCGTTTTATTCAACCATCAAACATAATAAGAGACCAAATATATGAATCATGGTGACAGTTTCTCTAATAATGATTATTATCTCCCATGTATTACAATGTATTTAGTCTCACATCACAAGCTCTTAACTCTAATGAATAAACCATATGTCTATTCTAGGTCACAATTAAATGAGTTTTCTCAAAGTAACTAATTATGTGCACAAATAATTGAGAAAACATTAAACTGAATAAAAGTTTTATCAAAATGAAAGTACTTATAATGATTGTCATATAATGGAATCAAGTCCCATTCGCGTTACATGATCCTTAAAATTCTTTGGTGGCATGCCTTTAGTTAAAGGATCAACAATCATCAACTCAGTGCTAACGTGCTCAATGACCACTTTCTTTTCTTTAACACGTTCTCTTATGGCTAGATATTTAATATCGACGTGCTTACTTCGACTTCCACTTTTATTATTCTTAGCCATAAAAACAGCAGCAGAGTTATCACAATACAACTTTAGTGGCCTAGCAATTGAGTCCACAACTCTAAGCCCAAATATAAAACTCTTCAACTATACACCATGTGAAGTAGCCTCAAAACAAGAAATGAGCTCAGCCTCTATAGTAGAACTAGCAGTCAAGGTATGGTTTTTGTTACTCCAAGATACAGCTCCACAAGTTAGCATAAAAACATAGCCAGATGTAGATTTTCTGGTATCAACACAACCAACAAAGTCTGAATCAGAGTAGCCTATCACTTCCAAATTATTAGTTCGTTTATACATGAGCATGAAATCTTTTGTTCCTTGAAGATATCTCATTACTTTCTTTGTAGCTTTCGAATGGTCAACACTTGGATTACTCTGATATCTTCCTAAAACTCCAACTGCAAATGCAATGTCAGGTCTAGTACAAACTTGAGCATACATAAGACTTTCGACAACTGAAGCATATGGAATATTTTTCATCTGTTCCCGCTCAAGATCATTTTTCGGGCATTGACTTAATTCAAGTTTGTCACCCTTTATAATGGGAACTACACTTGGTGAACAATCTTTCATGTTAAATCTCGCTAGAACTTTATTGATATAGGTCTCTTGAGACAAACCCAAAATACCTCGAGATCTTTCTCTATGAATCTTAATGCCTATGACATAAGATGCTACACCCATATCCTTAATATCAAAGTTCTTCAAGAGAAATTGCTTCACCTCATATAACATACCCTTGTCGTTGATTGCAAGCAAAATGTCATCCACATATAAAACAAGAAAACAAATTTTGCTCCCACTAACCTTCTGGTATATACATTGATCCATGATGTTTTCTTCAAAACCAAAAGAAGAGATAACTTCATGAAATTTTAAATACCATTGGCGTGAAGCTTGTTTTAATCCATAGATGGACTTATTAAGCTTACATACCAAGTGCTCACTATTTCTAGAGAAAAATCTTTCGGTTGTTTCATGTAAACCTTTTCCTCTAGATCACCATTAAGGAATGTTGTTTTCACATCCATTTGATGTAACTCAAAGTCAAAATGAGCTACTAATGCCATGATTATTCGTAAAGAATCCTTCTTAGATACAGGAGAAAAAGTCTCTTTATAATCAATTCCTTCTCTTTGAGTGAATCTTTTGGTAACAAGTCTCGCTTTATATATTTCAATGTTACTTTGAGAGTCCTTCTTAGTTTTGAAGACCCATTTACATCCAATGGGTTTTAGACCATTAGGCAACTCAACAAGATCCCATACTTGATTAGATGACATAAAATCCATCTCATCTTTCATAACATTATGCCACAAATTTGATTCCTTAGAACTCATGGCTTGTGAAAACATTTCAGGATCATTTTTGGCTCCAATGTTGTAATCCGATTCTTGTAAATACACTTCATAATCACTAGAAACTGCTGGTCTTTTGATTCTAGTATATCTTCTTAATGTTGTCTCAACATCTTGATGAGAAGATTGTTGTTCAACATTTACTTGTTGTTCCTCATCAACAATTTGATCTACATTATCATTCTCAGCAATTTGTGGAACTTCAATTATTGGTTGTCTAATACGCTTTTGAACTGGAGGAGCGTGAATGACTACCAATCTATCATTTGATTGAGAGGTTTGAGCTTCATAGTGATCTTTTTCAAGATCAAAATCTTGATTTAAATCACTCCCACTAATCAAGTCATTTTCAAGAAACTTTGCATTTCTTGATTCCACAATCTTAGTGTTATGAGTTGGACAATAGAATCTATACCCTTTAGACTTTTCAGCATATCCAATGAAATACCCACTAATAGTCCTTGGGTCTAGTTTCTTCTCTTGTGGATTATAAACTCTTACTTCAGACGGACATCCCCAAACTCGTACATGTCGTAAACTAGGTTTCCAACCTTTGAATAACTCAAAAGGTGTTTCTAAAACAGCCTTAGTTGGGACTCGATTTACTATATACACCACCGTCTTAAGTGCCTCATTCCACAAGAACCGAGGAAGTTTTGAATTACTCCTCATACTTCTCACCATATCCATCAAGGTTCGATTTCTTCTTTCTACTACACCATTCTGATCTGGAGAGCCAGGCATGGTATATTGGGCAACAATCCCATGTTCTTGAAGAAATCTAGCAAACGAACCAGGTGCTTGTCCATTCTCTATGTATCTACCATAGTACTCTCCACCTCTGTCTGATCTCACAATCTTAATTTTCTTCCCAAATTGTAACTCTACTTCAACCTTAAAAACTTTAAAGGCATATAAGGCTTCATCCTTAGAACGAAGTAAGTACAAATACATGTATCGTGAGTAATCATCTATAAAGGTGATAAAGTATTTTGGACTACTTGCATCCATATCCGGACAACAAATATATGTATGAATAATTTCTAGTAAATTTGAACTCCTCTTGGCACCTCTTTTGGACTTGTTAGTTTGCTTTCCCTTAATGCAATCCACACAAGTCTCAGAATCAGTAAAATCCAAAGTACTAAGTACTCCTTTATTTACTAATCGCTTAATTCTCTCTATGGAGATATGTCCCAATCTACGGTGGCATAAAACAGAAGAATCCTCATTCATAACACATCTTTTTAACCCAGCAGAAACATGCATAGATTTATAAGCAGCGTTGTTTTGCAATTTAATAAAGTAAAGACCGTCGCATAATTCCCCAAAGCCAATAACTTTGGATTTATTCAATAAAGTAAAACCAGAATCCATAAAATTAAAGGAAAAACCCAAAGGTGCAAGTTGTAAAATAAAAATCAAGTTCTTTCTAAAACTAGGTAAACATAAAACAAAACCACTACTTAAAACTAAATTGCACGTCCCAATGGCTTCTATATGTGAACTCATCTTGCTTCCTGAATAGATGCGTTGCTCACTTCCCATTGGTTTCCTTAGGTTTTCCATACCCTGCAAGGTATTAGAAACATGGATTGTAGAACGAGAATCAATCCACCATGTGTTATCATTAAAACTAGTCAAATTATATTCATAACAGACAAAAGCAAACAAATTACCTTTCTTTTCAAGCTAATCCTTAAACTTTTGACATTCCTTCTTCATGTGTCCCTTCTTTTTACAAAAGAAACATCTGGACTCCTTCTTAATAACTGGCTGAGCAGGAATCTTTCCCTTCTTATTAACTTGGTTCTTCTTATTCTTAAACGAAGTGGTCAAGTTCACCTTCTCCCCTTCTTCAATCAATAGCCTTTCTTCTTCTTGAACACACATGGTCAATAATTCATTAATAGACCACTTGTTCTTATGTGTGTTGTAAGAGATTTTAAAGGGCATAATGGTGAGACAAAGTGCACAAAATATAGTGCACTAGGAAAGAATCAGACACGGTAACTTCCAAAGCTTTTAATTGAGCCACAATGTCCCTTATGCGCATGATATGATCACGTACTCCCTTAATTCTAGTGAGCTTTAAGGATGAAAACTGCATTATAAGGGTGCTGGCAAGAGATTTATCAGATGTCGTAAATTGCTCATCAATAGCCCTCAGTAAATCCTTGACATTCTCATATTGATCAACCGAATCCCGGATTCCAGCGGAAATGTTGGTTTTTATGAACATTACGGAGAGACGATTTGACCTCTCCCATTTTTCATAAAGATCAATGGCATCTGAAGTGCTAGTCTCAGTAATACCCGGTGGTTCTGGTTTTCTAATAGCATAGTCAAATGTCCATCCAGCCTAAATGAAGAAGAACTCTCTCCTTCCAAATCTTATAATTATCTCTTTTCAACCTGGGAATACCACACTTGATATCAGAAATATTCACATATTGAGAAAATGCAAATTCAAAATCATGTTCATTATCATAATTTGAGACTAAAATAAATGTCATGTTTTACCAATGCAAACATGACTTTACCAATGAGTCTATTAACATAAAACTTGTCTGTGGGCTAAAGTCTTACTCAATTAGACTCAATTAGACTCATTTAACCTTATGATAAAACTATTAAATTATATCACATTCCTAATTCCTGTGGAAAAATTAAGAATTATAATAAATATTTTATCCTAATTAATCATACAAATGTAAGAAAAATCCTCTGGGTATATTTCCTCAGATTATATATAATTAATTACAATTAATGTTTCAATAAAGTTATCTTTGTAATATAATTTAATTAATTAAAGATGTTGTGGCTACTCTCTAACTATTAAAAATTATATTTATCACTAAACATTAAATTCTCTATAGGTCTTATATTTAATCTAAATAAAATATAAGAATCATATTATAAATATATAATATTCAAATTTATTATACTAACATTAAATATTAGTATAAATTACGCGCACTTTAATTTTAATTGCGTGTATAACCGTGCCTATCATAACACCATTGCGTGTGTATATATATATATATATATATACTGTCTCTTATAAACATCT